CTTTCACCCTTTATTCACTGCGGAGGGAAGGACAGGGTGTGAGGTTGGGGGAAGGCAGAGGGGATATAGTGCCAGGTATACAGCTTTGTCTTCATGGCACTTATATTATCCCTTTAAACAGGTGATGAAAAGCATTTCAAATATAAATATATACAGAATATTAGCAAACAAGCAATTATAATTAATACATTTACTATTACAAGTAACATTTTCAAATATATTAAAAAGGAACAATATATACATTTAACTACATATTTGGTTGCTCTAATTTGCATAACAGCATTCTATTAATGTACGCACTTCTATTCAGTCAGCAGAGGTCGCTGCAGAGTAATCAAGTAACAATGAATAGTTTGTATATCAATTGCTACAATCTCAAACCCCTTTCAGGGGCTCTTGCGGTCAGGCCCATAGTCTGTGGGGAAGAGGCTGGCTTTTAAGTTTCTCCAAAAGGTCATGGCATGGGAGCTTCTGTCACAATGTGTCAGTATATGTATCTGAATCTGTATGTATCAGTGTGTTTGTGTGTGTCTGTCTCTGAGTGAGTGTGTATGTGTCAGTGTGTGAATATATGTGTATATTTGTCTGAGTGTGTATGTGTCTATGTGTGAGTGCATTTTTGTCAGTGTGTGTATCTATTTGTGTGTCAATGTGTTTATGTGTGTGTATCAATGTGTGTATATCTGTGTATGTGTGTTTCAGTGTGTATGTGTACCTGCATACGCATGTACGGAATGTATGTATGTGGCAGTGTATGTGGATATATGCATATATCCCAGCAATCAAATGCAGGGCCGGCGCCACCTGTAAGGCGACCTAGGCAGCCGCCTAGGGCGCACCTTAGCAGGGGGCGCCGGATCCCTGCGCCCGGCGGCTCCTCATGCTGCGCCGCCTGAGCGCTTTTACAAGCCTCAGACGGTGCAGCACTGCTGTGGAGGGCGGCCGGATTTGAGTGACGGCAGGAGGGAAGTGCAGAGCGCTCCCTCCCGCCAGTCTCTCAATGTAGCGTGGCCGGGCGGCGCGGAACGCGGGACAGGAACCTCTGTTTCCTGTTCCCGGCCGCCGGCGGACTGACAGGAAGTGCTCACAGTGAGCACTTCCCTTCAGTCCGCTGGCGGCCAGGAACAGGAAACAGAGGTTCCTGTCCCGCTGCTCAAGGCCGGGCCTGCCACGCCACATAGGCAGGAGGGGGGGGGTGTATGAGGGGAGGAAATATGACCATCAGGGTGGGGGTGGTAAGGAGGGGAGGAAATAAGGACCATCAGGGGTGGGGGGGTGTAAGGAGGGGGGAGGAAATAAGGACCATCAGGGGGGAGGGGTGTGAGGCGTGACCACCAGGGGAGGGGAGGTGAGTATGACCAGGGGAGTAACACCAGGAGGGGGGGTGAGTTAGAAACACCAGGGAGGAGGGGAAGGGGAGTAAGGAAACCAGGAGGGGAGAGGGTGGTAAGGACCACCAGGGGGAGGGGTGAGTAAGGACCACCAGGAGGGGGGTGAGTAAGACCAGGGAGGGAGAGGGGGTGAGTAAGGAACACCAGGGGAGGGGGAGTAAGGAACACGAGGGGAGGAGGGTAAGGACCACCAGGGGAGGGGGGGTAAGGACCACCAGGGGAGGGGGGGTGAGGGTGAGTAAGGACCAGGGGGGAGGGGAAGTAAGGAACACCAGGGGAGGGTGAGGTAAGGAACACCAGGGGAGGGGGGGAGGGTTAGTAAGGACCAGAGGGGGAGTAAGGAACACAGGGGGAGGGGAGGAGGGTAAGCACCACCGGGGAGGGCAGGAGGGTGAGTAAGGGCCAGGGGGGGAGGGGGAGTAAGGACCAGAGGTGGAGGGGAGGGGGAGTAAGGACCACTGGGGGAGGAGAAGGAGGGGGTGAGTAAGGACCACTGAAGGTAGAGGGGGGGAGTAAGGGCCACAGGTGGAGGAGAGAGATGGGGCGAGTAAGGACCACTGGGGGAGGAGAGGGATGGGGGTAGTAAGGACCACTGGGGGAGGAGAGGGATGGGGGTAGTAAGGACCACTAGGGGAGGAGGGGGGGAGTAAGGACCACTGGGGGAAGAATGGGGGGAGTAAGAACCACTGGGGGAGGAGAGGGGGAGTAAGAACCACTGGGGAAGGGGGGGTGAAGGAACACAGGGGGACGGGGGGTGGGGAGTAAGGACCACTGAGGGAGGAGGGGGGGTCCACTAAGGGGTTTGGGAGAGGGAGGACCACTAAGGGGGGAAAGGACTACTAAGGGGGGGTGAGGGGAAAGAGGATAATGACCACTGGGGGGGGATTACCACTAAGGGGGTGGGGGGAGGAGGGGAATGTCTACTAAGGGGTTTGGGAGAGGGAGGGCCACTAAGGGGGAAGGGGGGACTGAGAAGACCACCAAGGGGGGACTACAGGGGGCCAAGGGAGAGCACTAAGGGACAGAAGGGGAGAACACGGAGGGACAGGAGGGAAGGGGAAATCAATAATTGACAGGGGGGGAGAGCACTATGAAAAAAATAAAAATAAAGAGCAGCTCCCCTCTCAGTCTCTATCCTACCCCACAAACCCTCTCTTTTACACTACACACATACACAATGCATCCCCCCCACACACACACACAGAAACATACAATGCATTCCTACTCAGACACACCCGAAACACACAATGCATCCCTTACGTTCACACAAACACTCATTCTCTTACACACAGAAACAAAATGCATCTCTTACACAATCAATGCACCCCTTACAGACACACACTGCATTCAATTAAATACACAGAAACACACCTTGCACCCCTTACACACACACACCCAGAAACATACAATGCATTCCTTACACGCAAACACACACTGCATCCCCTATAAACACACTACATCCCTTACAGAAATTGGTATCCCTATACACTACATTCTATAACAACACACACACATTGCATCCTCTACAAAAACACATAAAACATCCCCTACACACATGCACTCCACTTCCTGTGAGAGAACTCATGGGTGGGCCATGTAGCTGGATTTATGGGTGGGCATTGTAGGCATACTCACGGTCAAGCCCCGGGGGCCCAGACCTTGAGCTGTGTAAGGGGCCCTAAAACATGGAGCTGCTTCCTGTTCGTTAATTGTTGTGAACAGTCTCCTGAGAGCCTCTTCTACACCAGACCTGTGGAGCCAGACAGAGCCCATCATCAGCCTCTTGTCCTCATCTGGTGGTAAGTAGGCAATCCAATATATTATTAGTGGCACTAATCTCTAATTTACCTCACATTAAATGGATACTATAGTCACTAGAAGCACTACAGCATAATGTAGTGGTTCTGGTGTCTATAGCCTGTGCCTGTAGGCTTTTTAATGTAAACACACTGTCTTTTCAGATAAAAGACACTTTGTGAAGACTGGCGTTGGCCCATATGGCAGGGCATATGGGGGGGGCGGCAAAATTTTATTTTGCCTAGGGCGGCAAAAATCCTTGCACTGGCCCTGATCAAATGCCAACACTGTATGCAAACAAACTCACAATAAGATGGCAAAGTTATATATAAACACCCCTTCATTCAAACCCCAACACCACACACAAAAACACACCCGCATTTAAAAGCTAACACTACATACAAACACACCCCTGCATTCAAATGCTAACATTATATAGAGCATTGCAGTGGCAACAGTACATACAAAACACACAAACACTGCTCATAAATATAGCTTTGGAGGATGAGAAATTGTACATCCCAGCTGGCATTCCATTGTGGAAGTTGTATGACACATAAGGATATACTTTTTGGCCACCCTTGTGCTAGAGGGGGCCCAAACAAAATTCTTGCACCATGACCCTCACTACATTAGTTCTGCCACTGGGTAGCATTATGTTTGAAGAAGGTTTTTCTACAATGGACTGGAGAACTGGTCAGGATTGAGAGAAAGAGTCAACTCAATACAGATCAATTCAAGAGAAAAACCTGTTTAAGTCTGCAAGACACTTGAGTTTAATGAGAAGTTCACTTTCCAACACAGTCAAATCTACAATGCAGCGGTGCCTCAGACACCAGCTCCTCCCCAGAAGCCAGTAGGATATGTAGAAAATAACAAAATAATTAACCACAGCCCTTGAAGTAATCCTTTATTGTGGTACCAAAAATAATAATTTATTTTGGCACCAAAATAAAGGATCACTTTAAGGATTGTGCTGGATTTTTTGTTACTGTATATCTGGTTTACAATGAGATTTGCCTCATTGTCCCTGTTTAGAAGAGACCCTATTTTATGGCCCCCCAAAAAATATTCCAATAATGCTTCAACAAATAATATATTACACCGTTGAATAAATGATTCTCTTTTATGTTTTTTTGTTTTTTTTAATTCAACAAAGACAAAAATAATGTACTATTGAGTGATGGGTTTTATTAGCCAGCCGTAGTTGTTCATTTGAAAATCTTGGAGATAAAATTATCTAACCGCTTCCTTGGCAAAGCACTTGTGATTCCCATAGCAACATTAGCATTTTCACCACTTAACATTATCAACAGTGAACGTTTTTCAAGAGGCATCAAAAAACGATTTCATTCTTCTGCACATTTCCCAGTAAAGCACTAGAGTATTACTCATATTGAAAGTTGCCTTTAGCACCAACTAAAAAAACATTAACATAGCTGTAAAATGCCTATCCCACAGATTTTGCATAGTAATGAATGAATACAAATGCTTCCTCACTAGATGTGTGACAATAAGGGTCATGGGATCCACTATGTATTATTAACCTGGGGGCACTGCAGCCATTGCATCTCTGCTTTTCACTAGTGGTCAAACCCACCCCCCTAGTGACATAAAAGTGAAGTAATTTCATTCTGCAATATTTTTATATGCTGTAATGAAAAAAAGGTCAGCGAGATTTATCTCCATCAGCTTGTAACTCTGCAAAGCTTTCAGGAAACAGGTAGGAGAAATGTATCCCGTTTACACTGCCAGGTGTTTGACCATCATTTTTGTCTCTTATCATCTCAACATCTTCAGTGATATACAAGAGCAAGGGAGAGTCACAGGGGGGAATTGCTATATATATTTAAAGCCTATCAATCAAAGACTTTCTAACTACTTGTGTCTGACTGTGTGTGTGTGTGTGTTTGTATCTGACTGTGTGTGTTTGTGTCTGACTGTGTGTGTGTGTGTCTGACTGTGTGTGTGTGTGTGTGTCTGACTGTGTGTGTGTGTTTGTGTCTGACTGTGTGTGTGTGTGTGTTTGTGTCTGACTGTGTGTGTCTGACTGTGTGTGTGTGCCTGACTGTGTGTGTGTGTGTGTGTGTGTGTTTGTGTCTGATTGTAAGTGTGTGTGTGTGTCTGACTGTGTGTGTGTGTGTCTGACTGTGTGTGTGTGTGTCTGACTGTGTGTGTGTGTGTTTGTGTCTGACTGTGTGTTTGTGTGTGTGTCTGACTGTGTGTTTGTGTCTGATTGTGTGTGTGTGTTGTGTCTGACTGTGTGTGTTTGTGTCTGACTGTGTGTGTTGTGTCTGACTGTGTGTTTGTGTGTCTGACTGTGTGTGTGTGTGTGTCTGACTGTGTGTGTGTGTTTGTGTCTGACTGTGTGTGTGTGTGTGTGTCTGACTGTGTGTGTCTGTGTGTGTGTTTGTCTGTGTGTGTTTGACTGTGTGTGTATTTGTGTCTGACTGTGTGTGTGTGTCTGACTGTGTGTGTGTCTGACTGTGTGTGTATGTATTTAGAAGGTGGGGCGGGGGGGAAGGGTTGGGTGGGGGTGGCGCAGGGGGGGTGTTCAGGATACACCACTGAACTACTCCATATAGAATCTATTATATATGTGGACACTTATTTCCTCAAGTTAGTTCTGCCTTTGTGTTATTATAATTAAACAGTGTCCTATAAGGGCCAAACATAGATTAATGCCATAATAGACAAGATGCATGCATCAATAAACATATATCATAGATTCTGCACTCAAAAACCTTAATTGATGGCATTGCCATATTAACATACCTGGCAAAATTACAAAATCAGTGTTCAGAGATCCTAAAGAGGAAGGGAATGTAAGCACCAGATGTAGAATGATCCAAACAAAAGTGGTTGGAATTATCCCAAAATGGATGTGAATTTCTTTACAATGTGACGAGAAACAATGATTTGGGGTTGGCCCAAATGCAATGCAGGCAGTGAATACTACTCTGCCAAGCACTTAGGTTAAAAACCCAGAATCTTGGAGGCTTGTACTGTCTGCAAAGTACCACCAGCTTAACAGTCTTGCTGTTAACTTTTTGTAACCTAATGCTAATAACAGTTGCCACTATAGATACCAACCACTCATATTTTAATGGCATATTTTTGCTGGTAATGTACAAAAACACACATCTGAGAAAGTGCATTTCACCCTGGATGTCAAGTAGCGACAGGATTTCCAAAGTGGAAAACAACTGGCAAAAGGGAAAAGAAGTTCTTTTAAGAGTTCCAAGCATGATACCCCGACTCTTATATTTTAACTCTATATATGCCTGTCCCCATTGTGGAAGGTCACAATATGTTTTAAGTGTATACTTATAAACAAAAAAAGAGAAATATAAAAAGAGAATTCCCGAGACACACTGTTGGATTTTCAGAAGCCATTTTTTTACAATTTGTTTTCACAAAATCAAGTACATACATACATAAGGGCATCACTGGCCATGCTCCAGCTTTTTGGGGTCTTTATAAAGCATGAAACATTGCCAGTTCGTTAAATTGGTGAAATAAAGGTTTACCCATGTTAAACCTTCTATTTCCTAGAATGATTGGGCCAGGATGATATGACAACAAAGGTTGAAAAAGATGATATGTGAACCAGGGGAGTATTAGCCGCGAGGCAAACAAGGCATTTGCCTTGGGCGGCTTTTTTCAGGGGGCGGCAAAAAACGCCGCCCCCAAATGCCCAGGGCAAATGCCTAGTTAGCCTTGCGGCTAACTGACACTCTGGGCTGGCGGGCGTGGCGCTGGCTGGTGGTCGGGCGGGTGGCTGGCGAGGGAGCTCTTCTTCTGAGCGGTCTGCTCAGCTCCCTCGCGCGCCGCAGAGTGAGGCTGGGAGCCGGGTTGATGACGTCATATTCCGGCTCCCAGCCTCACTCTGCGGCGCGCGAGGGAGCTGAGCAGACTGCTCAGAGGGAGTGCTCCCTCACCAGCCGCCCGTCCGCCCAGCAGCCAGCCCATCAGTCCGACCGGCAGCCACTGGACCACCAGGGAGACAGAGGAACCCCCCCCGCCCCCAGCACTCCCAAATGTAAGGAGGCTGGGGAGGGTTAAATAAAAAGAAAAAAAAATGATGTGAGTGGTTGTGTGTGTGTGTGTGTGTGTGACTGTGTGTGTCTGACTGTGTGTGTGTGTGTGTGTGTGTTTGTGTCTGTGTGTGTGTGTTTGTGTCTGACTGTGTGTGTGTTTGTGCCTGACTGTGTGTGTGTGTGTGTCTGACTGTGTGTGTGTGTGTTGTGTCTGACTGTGTGTGTGTCTGACTGTGCGTGTGTCTGACTTTGTGTGTGTGTGTCTGACTGTGTGTGTCTGACTGTGTGTGTGTGTGTGCCTGACTGTGTGTGTGTTTGTGTCTGACTGTGTGTTTTGTGTGTGTGTCTGACTGTGTGTTTGTGTCTGTGTGTGTGTGTTTGTGTCTGACTGTGTGTGTGTGTGTTTGTTTCTGACTGTGTGTGTGTGTGTTTGTTTCTGACTGTGTGTGTGTGTGTCTGACTGTGTGTGTGTGTGTGTCTGACTGTGTCTGACTGTGTGTTTGTGTCTGTCTGACTGTGTGTGTGTCTGACTGTGTGTGTGTTTGTGTCTGTGTGTGTTTGTGTTTGTGTCTGTGTGTGTGTGTCTGACTGTTTGTGTGTGTGTGTATTTAGAAGGTGGGGCGGGGAGGAAGGGTTGGGTGGGGGGGGCGCGGGGGAGGGGGTGCCTGAGTTTTGTCCTGCCTAGGGCAGCACAAAACCAGGATACACCACTGATGTGAACACTGAGGAGTGCTGCACAGAGAGCCTGCTAGCATTTCAGATCTGGTCAGTTCATGTTGGTGGGATCAGCATGACATGTGACAGGCCAAGGCTTTTTTTATGTTGGCATCTGTGAACATAAACCACAATGACAAATTGTGTCTGGCTATGTATCACTAACATAGAATGGTAGTATATATGTTACTAGGATACTACATCCTCTGGTGTTAAACACTCCATCATAGATACAAGATGCAACATACTATTGAAAAGCTAGCCACTATTGCTCGCTGTAATAATTTTCATTTATGATAACATTTCACGTATGTTCAGTCTGTGAGCTTGCAGATATTTATTGGAGATTTCAGTTTCATTTTCCAAGGCCTTTTGCAATTTTATTATATCCCTTCTTGAATTTGTGCCGTTACACAATTGCTTTCTGTTTGATTGGAAAATGTACTTGCAAACTAGGGGCATGGTAATAGGTATTTGCTATGCCTCTAGGTATGTTAATATTTACTGGGCCTGGTATCACTAAAAGGTGCATGAGGAAGCAGTGAGGAAGAACAAAAGATTCAAGCAGCCCCACACTAGACTCCAAGGAGAGGAAAAAAAAGACTATAAATAAAATAAATTTTTGAGTGTGGAGGGAATTTGTATGTGTGAGTATGTCTGTCACTGGGTTTGTGTGTCTATTAGTGAGTGTGTGTGTCTATTAGAGAGTGTGTCTGTCCGTGAGCGTGTGTGTGTCAGTCAGTGAGTGTGTGTCTCAAATGAATGAGTTTATATGCCTGTTAGTGTGTGTGTGTCTGTCTTTCACTAAGTGTGTGTATATGTCAATGTGTCTGACAGTGAGTGTGTATGTGTCTGTCAGTGAAATCCACATCTATTATACAACTTCAATTATGCTATGCCAGCTGGGGATCTACCATTTGCCCATCCTTACAGGGTTGTATTTGCGAACAGTGTTTTTACAAAATCATCGTTTAAGTGCAGGGGTGTGTTTGTTACCATATGTGTGCATATAGGGGTGTATTTGTATGTACTATTGGCATTCGAATGCAGGGGTGTGTTTGTATGTTGCGTTAGCGTTTGATTGAACACACAGATTCAAACATATAAACACAATGACACATACAGACAAATTCATATACACACTGACAAATGCACATACCTTGACTACAGGGTAAACAGAAACTCATCAGAAGCGTGATTGGTGCCTGGAACGAGATTTGGATCCCATATCGGCTCCTTTGACTTCGATCCTTCAGTTCCTGACTTCACTATTTCAAGATGGCAAGGCCTACCGTAAACCTGTATCGTTCGGCCATTTCGGCTTCACATCAGGGTTTAGATGGAATCCTGACAGGAAGACAGCCAATGATATGTAGACTTTTACGCGGCATGAAATTTGCACGCCCACCGTTACCACGATATTCAGTACTATGGGACGTCTCCATCGTTGTCACTTTTCTAGAAGCATGGCCAGACAATGCAGTCATGTCTCTGAAACAACTATCTGCTAAACTAGTGATGCTCCTGTGCCTCATATCCTGTAAGAGAGTTTCTGATGTCAGGGCTTTAGACCTCACCACACGCTCCTACACCCCCGAAGGGGTCACCTTCGATATTTCTCGAAGAACAAAAACACACAAACCCTGACACACATATGTACACACTGACCTACATACGTACTCAGATATACATACACATTAACACACAGATACATATATAAACACACTGACACATACAAACACAGACACAAAGATACACACACTGACACATGCACACACCCCAACACACAGACACACACACTCAGACACAAACACACCCTGACACAGTGTTAATTTTTGTATTTCCAGCAACCCTCCTGCTAGCATACCTTACATTTGCAGGAGGGTGACTTGTTTGGAGTCCTGCTGCTGCTGGCTGAGGGAGGCGGGTGTAGTTGTCTGTTGCAGCTCCTAACTGCCCCCCTCCTTCGCTGCCTTCACCCTCCCTCCTTCCTTCGTGTGCGGTCTTTCAGTATGAGGCTCAGAGGAAGTGATCTGCTTTCACTTCCTCCCAGTGAGCAGGTATTGCAAGGGCCCAGTTGTGGTCTTAAATTGCCATGGCACCCAACTGGTTCCCTGTTTAGTGATAAACATAGAATACCCTTTGGGTGGCCCTACGTACGTGGCCACCCAATGGACCCCCTGAGCCAGCAGGCCTCAGTGTAGGCGCACCGGGTGCCCTAGCGGTAGTTCTGCCAATGCTCCAATGACTGTGTGTCTGACATACACTCACTGACACACACACTCACTGACAGTGTACATATATCAGCAAGTGAAAGTGTCTGTAATTGAAAGTGTGTGTGCCAACGTCTGTGTGAGTGTATGTCAGTGTATGCATACCAGTGAGAGTGTAATGTGAGGCTGTTCTTTGATTCTTGCCCTGGGGCCCTGTTATTCCTGGTTATGCCACAGGATGCATTCTCTCTGCTCGTCTGGCTTCCCTATACAGCGCTCTGCGCTGCACTGTAGTGTGCAGCACATGCAAAGTTAAGGATGACTATGGTTCGTGGGAGGTAGTATAAAGCTTACTGAGCAAGTGTGAGTGTGAAAACAATAGTGCATTTTACAGGCAGCGCAACCATTCCCATTCAGTTGTTAGTCACATTCACCATGCTCGGGCTGCTTCATGCTGTCTCCTGCGAACTTCAGCCAATCAGTCAAAAGGATTCCGGCTACCAGCCAAAACGCAGCATGAGCTGCTCAACATCACTTACTCCCACTGAGTCAGTCCCCACAAGCGCCAGATTCTGTAGAGCTTTACAATATTATAAAAGGGGGAGATTTAACAATAAATAAGACAATTACAAAAAACTTACAGGAACGATCGGTTGAAGAGGACCCTACTCAAACAAGATCACTATCTATAGGCAGTGGAGTAAAAAACACAATAGGACAGGAGATAGCAATCAAAAATTGTGGGAGTGAAGCAGAGTGGAGGAGAGAGTGCTGCCCTTTAGGAGAGAGCAAGGGACAGGTGTGTGAGGTAGAAGTTACTCCGGGATGCCATAAACTTTCCTGAAGAGGCACTTCTTAAAAGATTTAAGGCTAGGTAAGATTCTGATCGTGGTAGGCAGGCTATTCCATAGGAAGAGAGCCGCTCACAAGAAGTCCTACAAGCGTGAGTTGGCCGTACGTGTGCGAGCAGCGGACAAGAGGAGGTCATGGGCTGAGCATAGAGACAGAGAAGGGGCATACCTATGAATCAGTGAAGAGATGTAGGATGGGCTAGAATTGTTCAGTACTTTAAATGTATGGGTTAGCACTTTGAATTGACTCCTATAGCATACAGGAAGCCAATGTAAGGCCTGACAGCGGGGTGAGGTGTGAGAGGACTGACTAGAGAGGAAAATCAGTCTGGCAGCAGCATTCATTACAGACTGTAGCAGGGCAATATGGCTTTTGGGAAGACCAATCAGGAGAGGGTTACAATAATCCATGCGAGAGATTACTAGAGCATGGACAAGGTCCTTAGTAGTATCTTGTGTAAGAAAGATGTTTTTAAGGTTCAATCTACAGGATTTGGTAACAGACTGGATGTGAGACTCAGAATCAAGTATAATGCCAAGACAGCATGCTTGCAAGGATGGACTGATGTGGGTACCACTAACTTGAAGGGAGAGCAAAAGAGGAGGATCGATATTAGATGGAGGAAAGACAGACGTCATGAGGTAGCACAGCACAGCTTTCTGGGAGTTATGGTTCAGCTAACAACATTTATAGTTATAAAGCTAATAACTGAACAGCAAGTCACAGAAACTCAGCTCTGAGGTGAACTTAGTTGTTAAACACTATTACAAAAGGAGATACAGCGACAGCTTTTTGTTTTTTACTTTTTATTCTTTTTTTGTCATGTTTTAACACAACAAGCAAGCATCAATCTCACAGCAGTTTTCCTATATTCCACTTATCCTCGTACCATGAATAAAAACTCAATCCACATTGCTATACAAAACTGTGTTTGGCACACACAAATAAACACAAGCCAAGAACTTGTGTCAATAACAGAGAATAATAATTGGCCAGGATTGTGAGCTAGTAATTTTAAAGTGAAACTTTGTAGTCAGAAATATTATTTAGAGCAACTTATTAGGACAGAAGTGATAGCTCATAAAGATGTGCAGTTACATGTGGGAGACATTGAAAATTATTAGGCAAAGGTCAACCGCAACATAAGAGAATCTGTTCAGGCAGACATGATGTTATCATGAATTTTGTTCACAAGGCAGATTTGCTATTTTCGGAAAGTGCATGTTTACAATATATGCCTGCTTTTCAAACATGGAGCCTATTTCCTTGCAGCAGCTAGGTCACCACACCATATCCTTTATTAAAAAGCTATTTTACAGAAGAAATTGACAGCTTTATTTTATAGGGAATTAGCAAATGCTTTTGGGCCATGTCTCTTGCTTTTGCATGGAACCAGACTGTATTTTTCTATTCAAGGCAGAACAAATTCCCAAACTATTCTATTCCAGGTCTTTGGAAACCCTTTTACAAGCACTTTTATAACCTCATTTTTATGTTCCTTAGTTGGACAGCATCATGAGAGTTGTTTAGCTATAGCATCTAGGAATCTATCTTTTGGTCATCCCTGACCTAGAGCTTACATTTTAGATAATCCATAAACTGGTCTTCCCAGTTGAAATCAATGTTTTTTCCACCGGTAGTTGCTTGTTATCTGACCAATATCCCCAAATCAAAGGTCCTAAACTCAGTAGATGTGGAAGACTCAAATAAACTAAATTGGAAAGTGTTATTTTTCTTTTTATAGTTTTCATTTCTGTAAAACCAAAGTATACTCCATTTAAAAGGCAATTCCTCAG